TGATTTGGGTGTATTTTCCAAGTTTGCCGTAATGGCTGTTCTATTTTCTTTGGTGTGTTTTGTTTAGATCTAATTTGCTATATGTCTCTTTGTTGCCATTGAATGTTTTCCTTACGTGCTGGAGATGGGGAAGTCTACAAATAAAGTTGTTGTTGTTAGGTATTCTGCAACTTCACTTGCTTAAAATGGTCTTTTTATGCATACAGAACTTTTAAAAGGAGTATATAAGGATTTTTTTTTTAGCACAATAGTTCCTTTCACTTAGTATAGTGGTCTTTCAAATTCTTAGACACACATTTCCTAAGAGTTTTTCAAAGAGTAAATAAGTTCTTTTTAGTATAGTATTGTACTGTAGTTCCTGGCACTTAGTAGTTCTTCGAATTCTTACAGCAGCCATTTCTTTTCTTACTAAGGAATGAACTGCTACTGCAAAATAAAGAAGCTGCATGACTTGGAGCCACTCTCTTGAAGTAGTGAACTTCACTATCCTCTCAAAGACTTAATTTTTCTCACTAAAAGACTGAAAGGACTCCTAGGCTGTATGGTGACTTTCTTGCTAATGGAGTTACACAGCTATGAAGCTCCTTTACTCAGTGTTGAGTCATTTGGGGGGGAAAGCGTGTGCTTAAAGATAAGGAGGAAGCACTATTGCATGAGAGTTTAGGGAAGTAATACATGTTCCTAGTTACAGAAGAGTATGCATTTGGAAACATGGAAACTAGACAGCATTCTCTGTCCAAAGTAAAAATGTGCTGCTTTCAAAAGGAATTTAGAATAATTTGGATTTTGTATATCAAGGAATAAGGAAAATGGAAGCCTTACAACTTACAGGAAATAGACCTTGCTCCGTGCATCCTTTCTTGCATTCTAGAATTTAAGCTTTTCAGGGAAGAAATTGTCCTGTTGCAGTTGCTAAATAATGCCTGTTATATACACCTGAGTAACCATGCTTAGGATGGGGGTACTAAAGTATTTCTGAATGATATCCTTAAGAGAACAAGTTTAAAGGACTTCACAAAATGAGCACTTTCATGGCTGAAGGTTGGGAGATATTTTTCACCATTTTCTCTCACTATGGTGTTCCCAATGAACTCTCCATTTGTTTGAGACAGCAGGAAAAAGGAGAAATTTGTAAAAAATGTTTCCTTCCCTTTCCTCTACTTTCTTACTCCAAAAAGTATCCGGCCGGTAGAATTGAAGGCTCTGCTAGATTTGATTATCTCTGTGGATAAAAGGAAACCTTCCATTTGTGAAAAAACTAGGTAGATGAGTGTGTGGCTGGTTAAAGTATTAAATGTAGCAGCACCTTGTTAGACTACTTTCTAATCAGACTTGTTTTTATTGACAGGTTCTACTAGGTTTCCAAAGACCCATTTTGGTGAAAATCTGACGATGTCTGTTCAAAGCTCTGCTAGTACCTTGTCACTGAAAGATATAATGGAAAATGGTTTTCTGATTAGTTCTTCTAGTTATAGCTTCTCTTCAGGTAACAGCTGTCTCCTGGAAATGAACAGCATTCCTAGAACGGAAGCATGGAACATTGCAAGCAACATGCAGAATACATCAAAAGACAGCTCTCTGGCCTTAAAGGCAGCTGAATCCTCCTTGAATGGCGTGAAGAGTGACTTGCAGGCTTTATGTGACGGTGCGGCATCATTCTGCAAAACTCCAGTCCAGGTGTTTGCCTTTGATTTGTCAAACCTGGGTTCTGCAAATAATAGTAAGTCCAATTCCACAACAGATGTGTTCTCTGAAACCAAATCTTCTACCCCATGCAAAGAAGATAAAGTCTCTAAACTAACTGAGAACATGCTCTTAAAGAGTTCTGAATTGGACGACAGTACAACCTTCAAGAAGCCACTTCCACCACCAATATGGGAGATCTCCTTAATACAAGCTGCTCTAGACCAAACCCATTCTCTAGAGGCAAGCATAGATGAACTTTCTGGGCTCCATGAAATCTGATAATCTCTAGAGATGTCACATTTGACTGTGTCACTGCCTGGTAGTAGTGTAGCAATATATCGGCTTCAGCTATTTGGGTGAAAGTTAAATTTGAGGTAAATAGCATGGAATTTTGGCCATTAATATTTCACAATGCATATTGCTACATAGACACAAGTCTTACACCATAAGACTTTCTATTGTTGAAGGGAAATGTTGGAGGCCTACACAAGTCTTTTGGGTAACCAAACAGTTAACTAACCAGCCTTACGCCAGAGCTGAGAAAGATTTAGCTGAATATTGAATGAAAAATAATTATGTTGCCATGTTCAAAATATGGGTGCTAGCATCATCATTGTCCAGGAGCAACCCATGATATTAATTCAAGTGCCAACATTAGATTTATTTGTCATTGTGACCTAGAATAATTTCATGTACACTTGTGACATGTGTGTGTTTTAAAAGAAATACAAATAAAGTAATTTTTGTCTTCATTATAATTCTCAATGACCAATTGTTCCACCAGAACATAGTGCAGCAAATAGTACTATTGCTATTGAGGTCTACTGGATGGTCAGTCTTCCAAAGTAATCAAAAGTGTTGGGGCTCCAGACTCATTACTTACCTATACTAGCTAAAGAGGTGCAGAGGGACTAGCAAGGAATGATTCCTGATTAGCCTGCACTTTTGCATCTCCTTCCTGATGAATCAAGTCTGGACTGTAGAGAGCTGCTGGCTTCAAAACAAGGAATAGAACAGGGTAAGAATAGCATCAGTTAGGACTTAACTTCTGGAAACCAAGTTGGGAGCATCTGTGTAAAAATTAAGCAGGGAGAGAAACGATGTGGATATCAAAAGGGCGGGGAGGGGTCCTACTACAGATCTTCAAGTCAGATTAAGTACTTGGAAGATGCATTTCTGGAAGAGGAGACCAGACATTCAGAAAAGAGATCTATTGTAGCAATAGATTTGAACTAAGCTGATATTCGTTAGAAGTCAAATTCTGCCAATAATATATGTTCCAATGTATTATTGTCTTGCCTTTCAAAGAATTGCATTGTGCAGAAAGTGGAAGAGGCAACAAGTGGATCAGCTATTTTAGATCTGATCCTAACTAACAGTGATGACCTGGTTAATGGGGTAGAAGTGATAGGATCCTTAGATGGGAATGACCATGTTCTCCAGGAGTACAGCAAGTATAGGACAGAATGAAATGAAGATGCCAAGAGTAGTCACTCATACATTCTAATCTTTTAAGAAAGCCAATTTCACTAAACCTTGGGAAATATGGTCTATGATCTTGCAGTCAGAAATACTAGAAGGGAATGAGTTGATAATGGATGGTAGATTCTTAAAAGTGGGATACTGAAGGCATAATTTCAAACAGTTCCAACGAGAAGGAAATATGGGAGATGTCTAAGGAACTTTCAAATGAGCTAAGATGTAAAAGGGACATGTATAAGAAATGGAAAGTGAGGGAAACCAAAAAGGAATTGAGGTGAATCAACTGCACATAGAGTGGGAAAGTTAAAGTGTAGAATGAGCAGAAGCTTGTCAAAGAGATTAAAAATAGAGGGCATTTTGCCTCCTCTCCAGCAACACAGAGACTGTCTTGTTGGGCTTCTTGTGCTGGCAGAAATTAAAGTTTCTTATGTAGGGCATCAAAACCACATAATTGTGACATACCCATATTTACTTGAGRCTAATGTGCCATTGAATCTAATATGCACCTCCATTTTCAAAACTCTGAAACCAAAAAAAAAAAAAAAAAAGTATTTGCTGACTAATGTAATATGCAGTGGCAAAAAAGTACTCTCTTTGCAATTTGGACAAAAAAGGTACACATTGAAACTGCTGCCTGCTWATAATTCCTTTTTTAAAAACAAAAGTGTTAGAACACCAAAACTTTCAGCAGRGGAAAAGAAAACCTTGGGGTGCATCTARGCTGTTGAATGAATCCACTAACTTTAATAGGCGCTCCAGGCACRCCTGARGCTGCTTCCCTTTTACTTTCGCTCAGTACTAAGATTACCATACTATTRGAATCTAATGTGCACCCTAATTTTGGAAAGGTAATTTAGCCAAAAAGGTGAGCACTAGATTCAAGTAAATACAGTACTTTGAGAGACTTGTGGCTCCATAGTTTTCCAAGTGTTGGTACTGTTGCAGCATTCTTCCGTCAGTGTGTTGGTAGCCCACACTCGTTAGCAAGTGTTGCTTTTTGTCCTTTTTAACATTACTTGTTTGCACTTTTGATCAGTGCTTCAAATGGTGCAGTTTTCTCTCAAGAATTATGTTGAAGATATTTAGGTGTCATGACAATTAACTAGCATTACTGATTACAAAATGAGAAAGCAATAGATGAAATGAGGAGTTGGAGATTCTCTGTTACAATATGGTCTCATAAATCTTCTCCAAAAAGACAGTTCCTTTTAGGACAGATTTTTCAGAATTTGATGGCAGAAGAGTAGTTCTAGTAACATGAAAGGTAATTTTAGTCAGTGTGTGCAAGAATTTATGGCAACCCCCATATTACATATGCCATTTATTACACAACTTTGCTTATTTTCTACTGTAGATATTTATTATTTGGGTTGTGATGGCGCAACACGTTAAACCTTCGTGCTGCTGACCTGCTGATCTGAAGGTTGGCAGTTGAAATCTATAGGACAGGGTGAGCTCCGCCTGTCAGCCCAAGCTCCTGCCAGCCTAGCAGTTAGAAATCATGCAAATGCGAGTAGATAAATGGGTATTGCTTTGGTGGGAAAAGGCAAAAAGATGCTTCAAGCAATCTTGCCGGCCACATGACCAGGAGGTGACCATGCTTGAAAATGGAGAAAAGCACCTCCTAGAGCCAGAGATGAGCACCGCCTCCAGAAGCCGGAAATGAAAGGAGAAGCCTTTGTGTGTCTCATTGTATGTGATTGTAAGGAATTAAATGTTTGCCTATGTCTGCTGTAAATGCTGTAATCTGCTCTGAGTCCCCTAGGTGGTGGTGGTTGTTGTTGTTATATTGTCATAAAGAGAAGCTTTGAGAAACTAAAGAATAAAATCAAGATGGTACAAAATGTTTATTAAAAACACATTAAAATGGAACCTTTCTTACACAGGAACTTATCAAAATTATTGCTGCAGTAAGAAAAAAGTTTGGAATATTTACATTTTTACAAGATTTCATAAGACATCAGAAAATTTGGCAGGAAAAGGCCAGTCTATTGAGAAGCATGAAATAAACTAGACTCTGTAGTCTCTTGTCCATCTGCAAAGGAAAGGTATACATTCTTTATGTAAAGAAGGGATACCTTCAGAAGCCACCTTGGAATCCAGCTTCACTTGTATCGATATCATGTTCCTTTAGGAAGAGAAAAGGAAAATTTATTAAATTTACACAAAAAGTTCTATTTTGTTCTTGCATATTCCCGTTTTAAATACTGTCTGGAAAAAAAACTGGTCTGCATTTTGTAATTCATCATTTGTTAGCACAGTAATTACATGACAAACTTAATTTCAATACACTTTATGAAATAGAATACTTAACAGTGTTACACTAATGGCTCAGCTCAGTTTCTGTTTCAATGCTTCCTTTCCCCCTTTAAACTGTCTTCTTTCATTTTTAAATAAATTGATTCTCTTACCTAACCGCACGTTATATGTCCAAAAATTTACCTGGTTTAGCTTCTTGAACTCCACCACTTGAAAGAAAATGTGCTCTAGGATATGTTTAGCATCTTGCTGCTCCTTTGGCAATTTGTTAGTTACCCCCAAAATATCACCACATTTTCGGACATAGAATTCCAGATCGTCTTCAGTACCTGACAAGAACAGAGATAGTGTAACACAGGGATACAAGTTTTGCTTTAAAGTTATGACAAAGATTTTCACAAACAGGGGAGGGGAAAATTGCTCAGCCACAAGAACATTCCAAGGGTGGTATTTTTTCTGTGCTTTGCTTACAGACAGACAGAAAAATAAGGGCTGGGACATGCATGGTTGGGGAGAGAGGTAGGATTCCCAACAAGCTACTCAGCTATAGAACATTTCAACTGAGTCTCTTCATTGGCATAAAAACCCATTATGAAGCACAGAGACCACAACGAAGAATCTCCAGTGATCAATCTTCTAAAAAGTAGATTATCAACTAGAAAAGTATTAGAACCCAAAGTTTCTTTGAAAGAACTCTTGGTGCATAATAATTCATTTTCCCTAAGCTGTTTTACAGTGTGCATATTTTTCTTGCATTCATTTATCATATTCCTAACCACCCACTCTATAAATATATCTTACAGTACTAACTACAGGTTCAATATTGCCACCGCTCACATTTATTTGTTATTTGGGCAAGGCGGGCTTTTTCAGATGAGAAGGTTTCATCCAAATCAAACAGATCCAGGCTGGGGGGAGGCAGTTCTCTGAAGGCGGGTGGAAAAACCTAGTAAGAGAAACAATAAAACAATCAAGCCTAATCCTGTTCTTGCTTGAAAAACAAAACTTTTAACATTTGTATTGGTATGTCATATATAATAGAAACAAACCAGACCAAATACCTCAAAGGTACTGATCTTGGAGGCTAAGCAGGATCAGCCCTACTCAGTACTTGGATGATGAACTACCAATGAGGTGTCACAGGCTATACAGGCAGTCCCAGAGTTACAAACAACTCATATTAAGAACGGGGGTGAGACAATAGGAAGTGAGAGAAATCTACTCCTCAGAAGAGAAATTCACTCTTGAAAGGGTTTTCATGTGAAAAAGGTGTCTCAACTGAAGCTTTATCATCAATCCTTGTTCCACAAGGTCATTTTTTTCAAAATCTAATTATCACCGGGACAGAAAGTGAGGTGAAATCTTCTGAACACGGGCACATTGATATAGATAAAAATGATGAAAACTGAATGTGAGGGGTGAAGTTTTCCACTTGTGCCATACCCAGTCTCTCTGTTGTAACAAGTGGACATATTACTTACTGCTGGCTGGAGTGTTGGCAAAGGAGTCTCAAACTGAGGCTGTATTAGCTGCAGTGGCTCATATTTCACATTCAACTGCTCATAAGATCTGTAATATAAATATTGGTATGGCTGGAGAGAAGGTCCTAGACAACATATTCACATTTACAAGCACTTTACACAGTAATCTTCTTGACAAATACAATAAATAAGTGTACCCAGTTAATGTTATCCTTTGCAAACAATTCAGAGGCTATCAAACTTGAAATCTAAACATCCTGAATAATCCTAATTTTACAAAGTCCTCTAGAAATAACTTACTAGAAACAACTGTTTCGTCAATGAGCCAATTCACTCCAATGTAGATCAATATTCTGATGCTTCTTATTCAAGCATTCTTCAAATGGACTGGAATATATCTAAGACTAAACAAGTTCAAGCCACCAGCCAAGAGGAAACTGACTGACCAACAGCAACTAGCATTAGCACCTCTAACACTGTATAGAAGATGCAGGTTTGGCCACAGGAGGACTACTAACTGGAATTATTTTGCTCTATATACAGGCCCGTAGCCAAGATTTGAGTTTGATGGGGGGGGGGCAGGATCTACCCTAGCAAACCTTTTGTATCATTATCCCAATACCCCCATGCATATGGCATGGTGATCAGATCATGATATGTATAAACATAACAGTTTAAATAATGTACCAGTAAGGCCTTCCTGCGGACCACCCAGAGAATGGCTGAAGCCCCTCAAGCCCCCCCCCCCCTTTACGGGCCTGTCGATATAGAATCTTGTTATGTGCTATCAAAAACTGTTACTATTGCCAATCCAAATAGGCAAAAGATACCAAATTTTAAATGTGTACGTGTAAACTGCCAGCATTTATCCTTTCTCTACTGTAGAATATGAAACACTGAACTTAATTTATCTTGCGACCTATGTTAATTGCCTAAAATCTTGACAGATTAGAGAGATGGGCCAAAACTAACAAAATGAAGTTCAACAGTGACAAATGCAAGACACTCCACTTTGGCAGGAAAAACGAAATGCAAAGATACAGAATGGGGGACGCCTGGCTCGAGAGCAGTACGTGTGAAAAAGATCTTGGAGTCCTCGTGGACAACAAGTTAAACATGAGCCAACAATGTGATGTGGCGGCAAAAAAAGCCAATGGGATTTTGGCCTGCATCAATAGGAGCATAGTGTCTAGATCTAGGGAAGTAATGCTATCCCTCTATTCTGCTTTGGTTAGACCACACCTGGAATATTGTGTCCCATTCTGGGCACCACAATTCAAGAGAGATATTGACAAGCTGGAATGTGTCCAGAGGAGGGCGACTAAAATGATCAAGGGTCTGGAGAACAAGCCCCTATGAGGAGCGGCTTAAGGAGCTGGGCATGTTTAGCCTGAAGAAGAGAAGGCTGAGAGGAGATATGATAGCCATGTATAAATATGTGAGAGGAAGCCACAGGGAGGAGGGAGCAAGCTTGTTTTCTGCTTCCTTGGAGACTAGGACGCGGAACAATGGCTTCAAACTACAAGAGAGGAGATTCCATCTGAACACGAGGAAGAACTTCCTGACTGTGAGAGCCGTTCAGCAGTGGAACTCTCTGCCCGGAGTGTGGTGGAGGCTCCTTCTTTGGAAGCTTTTAAACAGAGGCTGGATGGCCATCTGTCAGGGGTGATTTGAATGCAACATTCCTGCTTCTTGGCAGGGGGTTGGACTGGATGGCCCATGAGGTCTCTTCCAACTCTTTGATTCTATGATTCTATGATACTACTATTTAAATTCTTAAATTAAAAATAGAAGAACAAATAATATTTGGAATGCACTAAATGAAGCAACAGATACTTGCTTGATGATTTTGGGAAGTGCTGTAGTGTCCAAATGGTAAATAGACATGTCAAAGAGTGTAGTGAAGTCTCGTGGGTTCTCATCTCCCTCTTGCAGACAAACTCTCAACCGTTCTGACAAGGTGGCTATATCTGGGAGCATTGTATAATCAGATATCTGAAAAAAACACAGAAATTGCTGTAGACAATGAAAGAGGTAGCAAGAAAAATGCATGGTTTTAAGTAAATAAACAACATCACTTGCAACAACTGAATAATAAACCTCAATTAAGAAACAAATAACACTGAAAAGTAACTGAAACTTATATGACACAGTTTTAATTTTAACTGCAAAATGTATTAATCAATGCCATTATTACATTTTACAAACCAATTTAAAATTCCAAGTCACATATAGACAAATGTTCTGAAAAAGAATCCCCATAAGGCGTAAATAAAAAATCTAGCAGCTTAATTTTTATTTTAAACATATCAAAACTTTCTCCTTGGTGACAATGAATACATTAATACAAAAATTCAACAAACTTTTCAAGTATTTTATAGCAATAAAAACTAATGTTAGGATCTATTAGAATTGTTTTCCTACCTCTGGATCTTCTGCATCAATCTGGTTTAAATGGATGTCATCAGTTGTAAGCCACTGGAAAAGTACCTCCTAAGAAAGCACATGTTTGTGAAACTTTTTCAATTAATTTCCATGATATGTATCATTGTTCATATACAATTTGGGAGGAGGAGCAACACATGGCCTTCATATTTGGGGTTTAACTTTTGCAGATTTGTTTACTTGTCAATTTCATAAATATGTTTCATCTAAAAATCACTAGGTCCTTCAAGATGATTCTATGATCACCTTCTGCTGAACACTGACCATACAGTCACATTGACGGATCGGGATTCTTAGTCAAAAACAATTCTCCAGGCATTTGTAGGTCTTCCAGTGCAATTCTATGATCACTTTAGGCAGACGCTGACCATAGAGTCACACTGAAAGACCTAGAGAGGAATTGTCTCTGGTAAAACAAGTTGCTCATTCATAGTTTCTCCACTTTGACAGAGGTCATAGAATCATAGAGCTGGAATAGACCTCATGGGCCATCTAGTTCAACCCACCTCTAATCCCAGAGAATATGAAAGGCTAGCTGTATACATAATAACCCCAAAGCCTCAATTTTGGAAGAAAGACAGGCTACTAATATTAGTAGCAGCAACATCAATACTTAATTCAAATGAGTATTTACTTCAACTGCCACACTGAACCATAGTTCTGCATGAAATGAATTCATGTAAGGTTTGGGACAACATGCTCTATCTTCCCCATCTGTGTGGACAGAAAGATGAATGTAAAGTCTTCACTTTTATTTTTGCACAAAAAATATTAACTCTGTTAAATAAAGTCTAAGCTTCAAGAACGGCTGATCAACTGATTGTTTGAGAACGAAGAGTAATAAAACAAGAAATTTTGATAATAAAAGCTCACCATGATCTTGCTGTTTTCTTCTTTTTCCAAATATTGGTCTGTGAACATATGACAAGATCCCAATACAGCCAACTTTCCGCCTTGATTCTATCAAAGAGTAAAACACACATTTCTGATATGCGGGAACCCATAAACTATACCAAATACACATAAATGCTTTCTTTTATCAGGCACACCTTTAAAACTTCACATTAATAATGTAAGGGAGATCACACCAGATATAAGTACTCACAGTGAGTATCTGATGCTACCAACAAGAAAATTATTATTTATTTTAATAAGGAAAGGTTAATATAGAATTACACCACTATTTTTGTTCACTACTTTTGTTCACTTTTCCTGAGTGAGTAAAGTTTTAACAATATATAAGGTTGGTATAGCTTCACAGTCTCCAAGGAAAGAAATGTCATTTAGTTCGCAATCCTGTGATTAAATCCCATTAAAATTCAATGAGAATTCCAAGTAGACATGCATGGAAACTGCAGTTATTGGTTCATAAAGACATATGTCAATATATGCATGCCAATGCCTTTAAGCAGGCTAAATTAAAATATCATATAGGTTTTGCTTTCATAACTGAACAATCACAGAAAGAAAGAAAAATCAACCAAAGACAACAAATACTTGAAACTGATAATAAACAAAACAAGCTTAGTGAAACCATGTTTTTAATAAGCAGACTGTTAAAGCTTTTCTGAGCTTCAACAGAGTACTTCCACTACTGAGGATGCAGTGTGGTTCTCAGAAAGAGAAGAGTCTATTAGTGGAGAAACTTTTAGCCCTACAGCATTTTCCACAGCCCCTTAGTACTGATCACATTAGCTCTGATTCCTTGGAATTTCAAATCCAAAATATCTGAGCAACCAACATTTTCTACCTAGCTATGTACTGAGCAAACTTATTCTGGTTTCTCAGCTCATGTACTTTGCTATTTTCCCCCACCTTCTCAAACAGCTCAACCACATGACAGATTTTCCTTCTAATCTTCTTCTGTGTCTGAACAATTATTCTACCATTTTTTTTCCAGAAATCACTTGTAGGATTTTGTCTAAAATGTCCTCCAGCCATACAAGGGGGAAAGAACTGTCTAACTAGATTGATCCTCCTACTAGTGTCATTCAATTTATCCAAACAATATTGGTCAGAAAAAAATAAGAGATTAAAGGTGTGACAGAAATGTTAGCCAGGTTCTAGTAAGATCTTCTTACTCTGTTTAAGAATTTCTGAAATTCTTCTCATATTTGACTGAAAAGAACCCCTGGGAAACATCAATAACAGTACAAAACATTTCAGATAGAGAAGAACATTTGGAGGGCACAGTTCACATAGTCTCAGACATATGCACAGGGCTTTCTGGTTTCCTGGAAATGCTTTTACATGATAATTTGCAAAAGAAGACACCACTATCAATTAAAAATCAAAATGTCTGAAATATCATGCATCCACTTGTATGCATCTCTATGTGCAAGAAAAGATAAACGCAAAGCTATTAACTGTATTGCAGAGGAGTTATTTGAAAAAAAAAAAACCCTGCAAGATCCCTTTCTAAGAATTAGAAAGGGACAGCTTTCTAATTCAGTCCTCAGTTTGGATAGCTGAGGTTAATCTTTGTGAATTGTTGACAAGTTATTTTATTTTCAGGTATTTCACACTAATTTTCCTTAGTGTTTAATATACTGTTGCCAGTCACAAATCTTTTGGAAGTGACTAAATCTAAATGAAATGAACAACATATTTACCATTCAATTTTAAGAGGTAAAACCATCACAGAGGAAGCTGTAGGGCTAGATTTCAAGACAAGATTGGACCCTTTCTTCTAATTTATTTACTCTAAATTAGTTTGTCTTAGAAGTATTTCAGAAATAGTGACAAATAACTGATAAAACAGAAATGGATGAAGCAACTGATAAAATAGAAACAGATGAAGCAACTGTTCAAATGTTCTGGTTTTGTACTTGCAAGTCACCTACTTTTCAGATACCACACACTAAAAGTATTTCTGAAAAAAGAACTAATATTATTGCTTGCATGTTAAGAGTACATCAACATTACTGAATGACAAGCACAAAACATTTTTTTCATGCAATAGTTACCTTATAATGATAAAAAGCCAAGATGGGCCTGTTTAGAGGAAAACAGACAGATCCTGTGGACAGAACAGCCACTGCTGGTTTCATCACATTTAGTGTAGCACCAAATGGATACACAAAAGTGAGAGCTCTACAAGAAGAGCCAAAAAATGTAGTAAGTATTTTCTGTATTCCATGGAATTATCTATGTTTTCATAATACACTCTTATCCAAAGTTTGGAGAAGTACCTTTTTGGACTACAATTGCCAAGCCTGTAAACCCACTGAATCAACAGACCCTCCCTAACTAGTGATTCCCTAAGTATTCACTGATTCAGTGGGTCTACTCTACTTGGAACTGGAACTAGCTTTTTGAATGGCTTAGCAAACATGGCAGCACACAACATTAAGAAAAACTAATCCTTTCCTAAATTTGAGATTACAATTTATTTTATAAAAGCAAAATACAGAATTTTATAAAAGTGGTAGAATGTTCCATTTTATTAACATTCCTTTCACTTTAAAACTTAAAACATCAGTGATATGCCCAATAATGAAATACTTACTGTGCATCATTTCCACTGTTATCTTCATCTATTAACCCAGATACAGTTTTTCCTGCAGCTCTGCTGATTTCCCTTAATAGTGGAAACATAAAAACAACTAAGATTTGAAATCTCAAGCGATGTTGTTATATGACAAAATTTGTTCCACCCACATAGACCCAAGACTTACCGATTTAAAACTCCATTGGACACCAGGGCTTCTTTAGGATGGAAGTATTTATAATACACATTCCTCACCACAGAATCTTAAGAAAAATGAAAATAAAAGGTTAATTTTCCCAATGAAGGATTCTATCACCACACATAAAGCTAACAACATGATTCCTAATTAGATGCATTTGGGGAAGTAATTTTTCTTGTGACAAAAAAGTGTACATAAATAAATATAACCGTCACAATGATTAGACAAGTATAAATGTGTGACAAAGGCATCTCAAATCATCTCCCTCTGGCTGTTTTTACCCTGCTCTATCTCAACTCTGGTGGGGACTCAGAGCTGCTTCCAAATTGGCAATATTCAATGCCTCATTAAACATAAAACATACAAATACATTAAACACTAAATGCTGTTGTTTTTCCAACTGTGTTGAAATTTCTCAGAGAGCAGTACCTGGACAACCAATGAGTTATTTGCCACTGACTCTTGCTGCTGTACTCCATTTTTAATAGGAAGTTCAATTACACTGGGTGGTACCAGAAAAGCAGCTACCGCAGCTCTTTCCCACTACCCTTACCCTTTTCCTACCCGACATCCCATCCATCCAATTCTCACTTCCACATCCTCCTCTTTCTGTCACATTTTCTCCATATGTCCTGAAGACCCACATCCCACCTGGTCTCCCGCTTTCCACTCCCCTGTCCCATTCCCTTCCACAATCTTGCCTCAGTGCATTCTCAATACAAAAGCATGTTGATAGGCCAGTTATTACCATTGTTCACCATGATTCCATACTCTTCCAATAAAAAGTTTATATTGGTATCGTATCGTGATTCACCACCTTCTCCAAGCATAACCAAAATATCCCCACCATCTTCTAGATATTTCTTCAGAACTTCAAACTGAGACAGAAAAAAAAGAACTCATTAGTCCTAAGCACAGAAAACTAAACCACAAAAGACTTTCCATCATTTTTCTAATGTAATCCCTGAAAATTAAAGGATAATAGTAAGAGAGAAAAATTGAATAATTCAATTATATATATATATATATTTTATATAATCTTTATTGAGTTTTTCACAAGAAATTAAAACTGGGGGGGGGGAGTTTGGGGGGGAACGGGGTATTGGGCAGAGAATGGTGGGGGTAGGGAGGGGTGGTAGGGGTGGTGTGGTAGTGGGGGAAAGGGGAGAAATTTAGGGTGGTGGGGGGGGGGGGGGGAAGGGGGTTAAAAGAAAGATAAAAGCTTGTGACTTCCCGGTATCATCCTAAGGGTCTCTTCTTTCCCTCTTCCTCGTCTCCTTTTTCTCCTTCTTCTATTTCTTCTCTGATCCTTTCTCCCTCTCCTTTCCTTAGATTTCATTTTCCGTAGTTTTTTGTCTTGTTAATTTGTTAGGATCTTCTTGTTTCTTTCTTTAAAGTATTCTGATACCATCTCCCAGTTTGTGTCTTTCCTGTTGATGCCTTTATTCCTTAATATCAGAGAGGTAAGTCGATCCATATTTTTAATTTCTAGTATCTTCGTTAAACGTTCGTCTTCGTCCGGAATTTCTTTCTGCTTCCACTTTCTCGCGTAGCAGATTCTAGCTGCTGTCATCATCAAGAACAACAATTTGTCCGAGTTTTGGTCAATTTCTAAATCATACATTCCCAGTAGGAATATCTCTGGTCTCCAGGGGATGTTAATCTCCAGTATTTTTTGCACTTCTCTTTGTACTTCCTTCCAGTATCTTTTCCAGTATAATTCAATTATAGACTGTCCCAAGTTACAAACATCTGACTTACAAACAACTAATAGTAAGAATGGAGGTGAGACAACAGGAAGTGTGAGAAATCTACCCCTCGGAAGGGAAATTCCCTCCTGAAAGAGTTTTCATGGGGAAAAGATGTCTCAACTGAAGCTTTTCCCCCAATCCTTGTTTCCACAACAAACCAAATGTTTCAAAATCCAATTATCACAGTGAGAGAAAATGAGGTGAAATCTTCTGAACAGGGGCACAGACAGCAAAACAAACACCACAGGGGTGTTAACTCTTCCCGATGATATCCAAAGCATATGCATATGATATATATGATATATATGATATATATGATATATATATATATATATATATATATATATGAATGGGAGTTGAATTTAAAAAATGTATCTGTTCTGACTTGCATACATATTCAACTTAAGAACAAACCTACAGAATCTTGTTTGGAACTTGGGGACTGCATGTATTGTTTGGTATAGCATAGACATAGCTTCAATTTAGTCTTGCACAAAGTTCTTTCTGTTCAAATCAATAAATACCATCACAAAGATAAATTGATCTGTCTGCTTATGTGTTTATGAGTACAACATACTTCAGCAGCCGTGAACTTTTCCCTGGGTCCTGCTGTAATCCACAGTTTTACCCCAGCCAGTTTCTCAGATGTGATTTCATCTTTTAAGCTGTGGATATATTAATGAGAAAATACGTTACCCTGCCATTTCAAAGGAAAATCATTAAAGGCAACACTTGATTATCTGATATATATTCAACTTTCAAATTTTAGTCAACGCATATCAAAATAGGGCAGTAATGCTGCCTTATTAAGCTACAAAGGACACAACCTGCAAACCTGTAAAGCAGCTTGTCTGTTCCCAGTGCCCTTTTGCTACTAGCCTAAGCAGTTAAACAAAATGAACAGATATTGATTGTTACTTCTGAAACACACATATTATTTGTTTCCAAATAGTAATTTATGTTTATCTAACAACTCAGTTTCATATGACAACAAAAAATGTTATAAAAATGCTGATCCATCTCTCTCAATTATAATTCCGTATTCAAATATAAAGCTAACCTACCTAGTAATGTGAACAGGCAAAGCAAAGCAGGGCAAAAATAGGTTTTGTTTGCTATTTTGTACCTTATTCACAGTAAGCCAAGATCCATGGTAAGGTAAAGGTTTCCCCTTGATATTAAGTCTAGTTGAGTCCGACTCTGGGGGGTGGTGCTCATCTCTATTTCTAAGCCAAAGAGCCAATGTTGTCCACAGACACCTCCAAGGTCATGTGGACGGCATGACTGCATGGAGCGCTGTTATCTTGCATCGAAGTGGTACCTAGTGATCTACTCATATTTGCATGTTTTCAAATGGCTAGGTTGGCAGAAGCTGAGGCTAGCAATGGGAGCTCACCCCGTACAGCGGATTCGAACTGTCGACCCTCTGGTGAGCAAGTTCTGCAGCTTAGAGGTTTAATCCACTGTGCCACTATGGCCCCAAGATCCACAGAAATAGATCAACTGAAACATTACTCTAGAAATAATAAAATCAAAACAGCAGACAGCTATCAGAAAACACAGTGAATTCCACTAACCTCTGTATTTTCCAGTTACTGCGTAGTTTTTTCTGTAGAATTCTATAGCCATTGTTCATGGTAAACATCTCTTTTTTGGAAGCATTGAAGATTATTATATTTCGAAGTTCTCCCTGCATGGTTACCTCAAAAATAGAAGAAAACAGTTAGTTATATAAAGGAAAAAAAAATAAGGAAACAAACTTCATATTCATAGGTTTCAATAACTGGCTTGACCCATAGCTTAATGTGCAACAGTGTTTTTACTGATGACTCTAGCACACAGGCTGAAACATGGAAATAATAAGATCGGATATGAAGTCTCTCAATCTTTTTTACTAAACGTTTTTAGAAGAGACGAATTAGTACATGTTTAAATAATATTCCAAGATATGCCCATCTTATTTTTGAAGGCAAAGAGGTTTATTCCAAAATATGCCCATCTAATTTTTGAATGTAAGTGCCTGGATCCCATTTTCAGTGTCTGACCTACTATTGATCATGAGGAAGCTAAAGTCCAAAATATCTGGAAGATCAATTTGGGAAACTCTGAACAAAGTTGTCAAACTTGTGACCAGAGGTTTGGGGTTCGAACTCTCAAAAGCCATAGCCAGCTTGTCCAATGGCCAGTTCTGGGAGTTAAAAGTCGAAAACACCCAGAGAGCACAAGTTTGACACCACTGCAGTAGAACTTACATTATAATTAATGGTATTTATCTCCTGAAACTTTGTTACAGAGCTAATTAAAAGCTGTAACTACAACCAACAAAACTTCTGTATATTATTCAAATGTATAATATAGTTCGATATGGCATAGCATTAAGCCATGGCAGTTAAACTGAATTAATTCTACAGTGTAGAATTACAGGTTTTAAACTGTTTTTACTGACATTGTGTAATTTTGTTATTACTGTTTTCCACGTGATTGTTTTATTGTCAAATGTTTTATATTGTTATTTGAATTTCCTTAATTTATTGTTGTATTTTGTGGAGCCCCCGGTAGTGCAGCAGGTTAAACTGCTGAGCTGCTGAACTTGTTGACAGAAAGGTTAGTGGATTGAATCCTGGGAGCGGGGTGAGCTCCTGCTGTTAGGCCCAGCTTCTACCAACCTAGCATTTCAAAAACATGCAAATGTGAACAGCTCGTTGACTTAGAAATTGAGATGAGCACCTCCTGCCCAGTCTGATTTAATGTCCAGGGAAAAACTTTACCTTTCACTGTTGTATTTTATGGCATTGAATGTTTACCTTTTATGCTGTGAGCTGTCCTGAGTCCCCTCAGGGAGACAGAGTGGGATAGAAATAAAGTTTCACTTACTTATACTGTAGAATGAATTCAGTTTAACTGACATGACTCAATGCTATGGAGTCCTGGAAGTTGCAGTTGTACAAGGTTCCTAGCCTTCTCTACCAAATAGTGTGAGTGCCACATTGAACAACACCTCCCATGATTCCATAACACTGAGCCAAAGCTGTTAAAGTGGTATCAAACTGCAATAATTCTACAACAAAGTTGTACCATGGTTTCCAAATGAACAGAAGCCACATTTAAGAGCCAAAAACTTTTAAAGACCAATTTCTACACTTTAGTTTATGGAGAGGACGAGGATTAGAACAACTCAATATATCCTCGCTCGGATACCAGAATGCACTATGGCACTGTTTGGCTGTTGTATACATCATATTATTATTTTATATGACATCACTCATCATTTTATACTTTTAATTGCACCTTGATTTATTTAGATCCTTTTGATGTCAATGTGTATGATGAGTTTTAAGTATTTTTTGTGATCATTTAAAGTTTTTATGTTAATTTTGATGTAGATTTTTTTTTTGTTGCTCATTTTGGCACTGAATGTTTGTTCTTTTTTCCCCATGGAAACCTCCCTGAGTCCCCCTATGGCAGGTTACAAATAAAGTATTATTATTATTATTACTACTACTACTATTACTACTACTACTATTATTAGTGTTAGAATAAGGCCGTTCCCACCAGAAGGGATCCTACGTTTGAAATATCTGTGCATCATGAATAGCAGAAAACCCCATTGACATACAATTTAACAGGAACCAAAGGCCACAAAACTAAGAGAAAGCAAGCGGATGCCTTATTGCCCAATATAATGAGAATATTTTATTTCAGATGGCCATCCAGCCTCTGTTTAAAAGCTTCCAAAGAAGGAGCCTCCACCACACTCCACCACTGCTGAACGGCTCTCACAGTCAGGAAGTTCTTCCTCATGTTCAGATGGAATCTCCTCTCTTGTAGTTTGAAGCCATTGTTCCGCGTCCTAGTCTCCAAGGAAGCAGAAAACAAGCTTGCTCCCTCCTCCCTGTGGCTTCCTCTCACATATTTATACATGGCTATCATATCTCCTCTCAGCCTTCTTTTCTTCAGGCTAAACATGCCCAGCTCCTTAAGCCGCTCCTCATAGGGCTTGTTCTCCAGACCCTTGATCATATAATAATTATATATTTTATATAATATATAACTAATATTGGTATCATATTGCATTATATTATATCATCAATATTACTAATAATTATTATATAATAATACAATACATTGTATGCACATATAATATTGATAATATTATAATGTAATACAATATAATAATACAATATAATAATTATATATTTTCCAGACCCTTGATCATATAATAATTATATATTTTATATAATATATAACTAATATTGGTATCATATTGCATTATATTATAATATCATCAATATTATTAATAATTATTATATAATAATATAATACATTGTATGCACATATGATATTGATAATATTATAATGTAATACAATATAATAATTATATATTTTATATTACATGGAATATTGCTAATAATATTACAGTATAGTGTTACAGTACAATATAGTAATATATAATGTGTATACAATATATTATATTATTAGCACAGAGTCACACTCATCAGTTAAAAGGGGGAAATGATCAGAACGTATATCTGCAGCCAAGATCGAAGAGGGCCTGGTGCTTTGTTCTGGTACTTAGACACGAGCACTGATGCCATTATAGACTCCGCCTTCGCCTCTCCGTAAGGCCTCAAAGGGCAGGCGGCTTTCAAAGCTCAACCAGACTTAAACTGAGGAAGCCTCCTTACCTGAGGGGTGGCAACCATCCTTCCGAGGCCCCTCCAACTTGAGGACGCGGCGACGGTAAACAGACACGCCAAGTCACTAAGGGCCGCTACCGCCCTAGCAACGCGAGCCCTGGCTTGCCGCGCATGCGCGTAGCGAAACGCTGTAGGACAAAAAAAGAGGACACGCCTCGCGTGGTGACGTCAGAGACGTCCCTGAAGGGAGGAGGTAGTCTTTGGAATCTTCCATTCCTGCAGGGAAGGGAGGGGGGGTTGGCCTCTACCAACTGAGGGTCAAGGAAAGGGCAAACCAGCTTTATTTAGAAAAAGCAGTCAAGAGAGGGAGTTACACATCTTATAGCAGTTTAACACTATATTAACAACTGGGATTTGTATTATTGTGAGAGTCCTTCCAGACAGGCCCTAAATTCTGATCCTGTTTTCTGCTTTAAACTGGATTATATGAGTCCACACTGCTAGATAATCTGGGATAAACAGAAAACCTGGGATTAGATCCTGGGATATAGGCCGGTCTGGAAGGGTCCAGAGATGTTCAACCGTCTCTATCAAAGAGTTCTGTGTCATGGCAAGGTAAAAATTCTATCTCACTGAGCTATGCAACTGAAGTGCTATCGAAGTGCTATAATTCTGCGTGTGGATGTCAGCAAGGCGTCTTGTGAATACTGAAGACTATTAGGCCTTATTGGGCATGAGATTTTTTGGCCTGGTGCAACCCACTTCATCAAGTTGTATCCTCTTTTCTGCCCTTCAGCACCTCTTGCAGCCAAAAGGAGGAAAGCACATCTTCCTGCTCAGGCACACTGGAGAGATTTAGAAGATTCGTTGAAGTTGCTGGTTGTGCCATTTTTTTTTTGAGTCAATACCTCAAAGCTTCACAATATGCAGAACCTAGTTTACTTTGTACCAAGAGTTTTGAATTTACACTCCATTTCCGCTGTATTTGATTTTTGTACGGTGTGTTTTGGTGTGTATATTTTATGTTGATGTGTTGACTATGTTGTACCCTGCCTGGAGCTGCTAGGAGAGGGGGATAACTATTATTATTATTATTATTATTATTATTATTTTACTGACACAAAAACGGTATGTCACAGCAAACGAGATCTATATGCTGGATTTCGTATCACAAAATCACAAGTTGAACGCTTCTCAAGCGTCTAGGACTGTGTAATGTATTTTCGAATGATGTGAGCAGATCCAAGTAAGATGGTCTTTTGCAGTTGACAGAGGGTTATCATTATCATTATTATATTTTTATTTTACATACACATATTTTATCCCATTATTTGCTATAAGAACATAGCACAGATTGAGTATCCCTTATCCAAAATGCCTGGGGCCAGAAATGCTTTGGATTTCAGATTTTTTAGGATTTTGGAATATTTGCATATACATAATGAAATATCTTGGATGTGAGCACCGAGACTAAACATAAAATTCTTTTATTTTTCATATAGACCTTGTAATAGCCTGAATCTCATTTTGTAGAATATTGAACCATGAAAAAGCAAAGGTGTCACAATCACAGCTGTCCATGTGGACAGTTTTGGAACATTTGTGATTTCTGGATAAGGGATACTCAATTATACAATCAGACCTCTGCACCCACAGGTTTTGCATCTATAGTTCCAATGTGTATAACTTGAATATACAGGCAGTCTCTGAGTTAGAAACATATGATTTACAAATGATTCAGCTGAAGCTTTCTCCCCAAAATTAGATTATCACAGGATCAGAAAGTGAGGTGTAATGTCCTGAACAGCAAAGCAAACACAATAAGGTTATTAACCCTTCCCTATGCTATCCAAAGCTATAGATCAGGGGTTCTCAACCTGTGGGCCTCCAGAAGTTTTGGCCTTCAACTCCCAGAAATCCTAACAGCTGGTAAACTGGCTGGAATTTATGGGAGTTGTAGGACAAAACACCTGGGGACCCATAGGTTGAAAATCACTGCTATAGATAGATAGATTTAGTTGGTATTACACCTTTTAAATGTACCTGTTCTGACTTACATACACATGCAATTTAAGAACAAATCTACAGAACATATCTTGTTTGTAACTTGGGGAATGACTGTATATTTAAAGATTCCAAAAGGCAAACCTTGATCCCCCCACCACCACCACCGTATTTTATATGGGAGACTGTTTTACTACATCATTGTATATCATGGGACTTGAACGTCCAACATTTTGGGTGTCTATGTGGGGTCCCGGAAACAAGCCCCATCAGATATCAAGGGCCTTCTGTAATGAGGTTCAGTGAAACACAGGAAACAGTATACAGTAGGGTTGCCTAAGTGAAAACTCGAGAGGGCTGTGAACCTTAAAGGTTAAGTAAAAGAAGGATTTTCGACAGGTGTTGCTGGGTACCTGGATGCATGACCATTAGCAGCAGTTAAAATTTTCTTTTCTTCCCAAAACTATGGAAGGTACAAAACCAGTTTCTAGTTCTCAATTTGGCCGTTCTAGAGCCCTAGGAGATTTTGGACACCCCAGTGTTTACATTTTCCCCCAGCAATAATGCATGCCTCTTATCCGTTCCCCAAAAGTTCTAGATTACGGTGAGAACTCTTTGCCCTTCGGAATATGTGTCTTAAAGCATCATAGAATGGCTAATGGTTAAAGGATTGTGGGAGATGTAGTTGAAAGCATCAGAATTAGCAGTTCTAGATGGCAGATGGGCTGTCACTCTAAAACTTACAAGCATCTCAAATTTATTGTCTTTGCTTCTCCTTAATAGCAAAGGAAAAGACAGACAAAATGATGAGGAAAATARGAAAGAGCTGCAAAAGGAGGGTGTGGACACMTGAGGCCCACACAAAACTCAGCGAACAAGTTAGGGGGATGTTGTGATAAATGCCCTATCTGAGATYGATCTAAAAGTAAGTGTTCTAATCATTCCCCCAAAATTTGAAAGTCTAAAGGCTAGACTTGAGCAAGAGGGGGGGGGGGGGYACCAGATAATTACTGGTAGATYTACTTGGTGTGAACAACACTTCACAAATATAGCAGCTTGGTTTCATTTTAACTTKCAAGGCTTCAATTGACAAAATCCTTGTTTATTCCTCTCYCCCATATTAAACTATAGGATTTGAATTTTCTGGTAAGAAAATTCTGAGTGGGCAATACTCAAACCATATGTGGCCACCAAGGCAGGTTTGTTGTTGTTGTTGTTGTTTTGCACTCCTAATTCCTCCAGTCTCCAAAATGCTATTTTTCTTACCAAAAGTAGAATGACTTGCTTCAAAGCTTCCAAAACTTGCAGTTCACCTTTAAAATGAGTTGCCATCTTCTTTTAACATAAGGTTTTTCAGAACTAGAAGTTAGGAGAGGTTTTTTTTTTGGGGGGGGGGGGGGGGGGGGTGGGGTTAAAGCATTTTGGTAACATCCAACAAAAAGCGTTCTCTTGGTGGTTGCTTAATTCTGATCTAGAGCCTGTCATTGCAACACTGACAGTAGATTCAGTGTCATCTATCAATCTGCAAATAAYGATTTCCTTGCTTGCTGAAATTTATCTGCCCAAAATCAATARAGTTAAACTTGCCAATAATCTGAAAAAGAAAAAAAAAAGTAAGAACCAGCTTGGACATGTATTAAAAGAAAGACATAGACAGAKACCTGAGCCTTGAATCGGGTAAGATATGTTCTCTTAAAATATTTTTATTAAGTTTTAAATATTCACTGGACTCCAAATTTTTGGAGGAGGAGAGCACAAAATAATATGCAAACTTCTTTCAACACAATTATGCCATCAGCTTAACATATCACAACAAAACCCAGGAAGGGACAGGCAAATAACGCTATCATATAAACTGATCTATTCCTTCTGTTGTTACAAAGATGACCATTTACAAAAAACAAAAACAGAAAATTCTCCTATAGCGAGCATGACCACTAGGAGGCATTTCTTAATACATAGTTAAACATTTAAAAAGTTAAATGCACCCAAGCCTAGATAATGGCTGCCTTTGAAATTAACCTTGGACACAATTTTTTTAAAGAGAGCTATTTAGAGGTACAAAATCATTAAAACCCAGCAGTTGTTTCTATAATATACATTTCTTAACACAGTTGAGTTGAATTCTCCAAACGCCAGGAACATATCCTGCTGAATGTGTTCTTAATTTAAACAGAAGAGGAAAAGTTATGCTTCACTTAATGTTATAGCACCCACAAAATTGTTCTCTTAGGGTGCACCTACACTGTAAAGTTAATTCAGCTTGACACCATTTTAATGGCTCAATGCTATGGAATCATGGGAACTGTTGCTTTACAAGACTTCTCTGCCAAAGAATGTTGGTGCATCATCAAGCTAAAAATCCCAGGATTCCATTGAGCCATGATAGTTACAAGTGATGTCAAGCTGCATTAATTCTACAGTGTAGATGCACCTCCAATCATATTTGTCAATATTGGGCAGAACCACAATTTTCATCAGCAGGGTGGATGTCATTGCTGTAGCAAATTGAATTCTTTTCTATGGTGTCAACTTTGTTATTCATCCAAGATTGTTATTGCATTTTCATTTCCTGTAGGAGACTCCCTAATAATTAAAGAACAGTGGATAATTTGAATTGATTCAGACTGCTACATCAGTGAATAAAGTGTTTTATAAAACACCCTGTCGTAGGTAATAGTGTAAAACACCTCCCAACAAAGGATTCTCCCAGGCAGGAATCAGCCAGTCTTTGAAGCTGCAAGGCCATTCCATGCTAATCAAGGTGGCCAATTGCAACATTCACACTTGCCTCAAGCAGACAAGTTCCTTCTCTCATCCTGGACATCCCACAAATATATAAACCTCACTTGTCTAGTTTCCAACAAATCTCACAACCTTTGAGGATGCCTGCCATAGATGTGGGTGAAACGTCAGGAGAGAATGCTTCTGGAACATGGCCATACAGCCCGGAAAACTCACAGCAACCCACTAAGGTAATAAGGCTATAAACTGAGGCAGGTATTGTTGCACTTTCTGGAAGCTGGATTCCTCAATTTTGTAAATATAAGTTTACAAAACTTGTGCGCAGCCATCCTTAGACAGGTCTTACATATCTGCTGTTCCTTTATTTTTGCCAGTTTCCTGTCTATATTATCAAGAGGTAGTTATAAACTGACTCTTATCACCATGTAACTTTCTGATGGATACTGGGAGGGAGAGGCAAAAGCAGAATCAGCTGGCAAGATCTCCAAGGTAAAATGTCATGCCACAGAATCAGACACTGGTGAAATATGATTAAGTATGCTATCTGAGCCAGTTATGGCTGGGGAGCAGTTTAATCAACCCTAAGAGAAAAGGCCAGGCAAATTGTAAGGTTACATGCCTTTAGGGCCATAATTTCAAAAAAGAAATTATACAAAAGATCCAATTTTAAAAGGGAGAATACATTTCTATGAAAGTTTTGTGGAAAAAAATAATTTTAAGGAATGGGGAGTTGGAAACAGGGAAACCTCCACATTTTCTAGCTGACTGCAACAGTATTTTCTGCTAATTCCCTGAGGCAAACCAAAGGACTATCATAAAGGAAGGCAAAGGTGGTTTTAAAGAAAGAAAGAGTCATATCTAAAAGGCCCTAAAAATACAAGATTAAAGTGAGGTGAATCACAAATTGGGGAGACAAATCCAAACATATACAAACAACTGGATAAAGGATCCCCTTGAAATAGCCTACAGCAATCTCACTAGAGGTTCACCTGCATTCTCATATAGGACAACATCTATTTTGGCACAAGATTGTGTCATTAAATGTGTTGAAGTCTCTAGAAATAAAACAACCTTAACTAAAATAATCAATACTTCCCCTCTGGAAGAGGAATATTCACATTGTGAGGTCGTGTATCTCAATGCTGGAGAGCTTGTTTCTGTTCCAGTTAGAAGATTAGTCAGAAAGTAATGGCTTCTTTTCATTCAAGCCAAAAGTTAAAACTGGGTTTTCTTAAGCTTTGTTCACACAGGTCCATTAGTCCTCATCATTCGGTGCATATGAAAATCCCAGAAAGGCATCCGTTGCACTGGAACTGCTGGCAGCTAAGTCAGGGGTACGGATGATGGAGCTGGACACTGTTTCCCGAGTGAATTCTGGGTCAAAATGTCGTAGGTCGGCAGGACCAGCCTTGAAACATAAAAACAAATTATTTTTAGAGAGCAAACCAAAATTATTAACTTTTAATGGAATGGTTAATGTAGGAAAGAGATCTAGCACATCTTTTAGAACTTTGTGATCTGCTTTCATGTCATTTCAACTTATGATGATGATAAGGTGAACGTATCACAGGGTTTTCTTGGCAAAATTTCATCAGAGGGAATTTGCCATTGCCTTTCTGTAAGGCTGAGAGAAAGTGAGACTTGCCCAAGGTCACCCAGTGGCTTCCCATGGCTGAGAAAGGATTTAAATCATCATCTCCGGAGCCTTTGTGCAACACCCAAACCACTACACCATCTTTTAGACTTCTCATCTTTTATGGTAACATGTCTTAAATTGTCACTCAGCTCTATTGTTTCTTGTCATCAGATTCAGCTTCCTCTGGAGGTCGAATTGTGGCCAGCACTCATGTCATCTAGGTGCCAAGCTAAAAGATATCAAAAGCCTTTGGGCCTTTGGCTTTGGGACAAAAGTCTAAACATGAAATTCATTTTGTTTTATATACACTTAACCTCAAGTCAATTGTATACAATATTTTAAAATAATTTTGTGCATGAAACAAAGTTTGTGCACATTAAACCATTAAAACTCAAAGGTGTTACTATTTCAGATGCCCACATGCATAATTTTGGATTTCGGAATTGAATAAGATACTCTATCTGAGTAAGATCTAATAACTTGACATCAAGGCCAAAACATGTGCTTGTGTGTCATTTAGCAATATGCTAGTTTGTTGCAATGTCCAAAATGGATAAGTTGTGAAACTTTCCAGACACTATTTGCATCTCAAGCTGAATTCAGAACCATTTCTAAATTTGATTTGAAGGCAAAGGTTGGTTTGGAAGTTCAAAGCACAGCCTACAGCCAACCGTGATTTAACTATAGTATCTGAGCTATCTGAACAAGTCAGGGAATGCACATTTCCAATTCAAACCTTATGGGTTTTTTCTCCTGAAAGCAACCAGAACAGAAATCTGCCTGTGGCAGAGTGAACTACTTACCACATTGGGATCAAATGGAGGAGTGATCTTCTTATTATATAAGTCATCCCAGTTTATTGGACTGAAGAAAACATGGCTCTTTATTTCAAGCTGTGAAGAGGGAAACATGAATCGTTGTCAGTCAGCTGCTCACTTAAAACATATTCTTAAATCAGATTGTGCGTACATGAACCTACACCTGGTTGCAATTATCCAAACACCTACATTTCCTTGTACCTCCATGCATAAACAATTTGCCCATACTGTGTTTACCTGTTATTTCTTCTGCTTCTCACATTTTTATAGTTCAATATTTGAGTGCATATAGTCATCTGTTTCTTTCTGAATATGGCAATACATATCTCAAGATTGGGCAGCTGCACAGTTGGTAGAGCCCATTTATGACCTGTGTGCCATTCATAACACATTAGAGATCATACATTTCATGTTCCCAAAGTTAAAATTTCTTTCTTTAAACCATCTTTCCCCCCTAAAAACATTCCAGTAATTTCCACTAGAAGAAAGCAAGGTTTCATCTCCTAAGATTTCAAAATTTCCAAAAATTTTACACTTCTAGTGGGATCTTCTCTGGGTCACGAAAAGGGGAAAGATGTGGCCTGAAGCTGCATTCCCCATATTCCTCATATACATACATGTATGTATGCATAGACAGAACAACAAAACATTACACAATGCAAATAAACAAGCTATACATCTATAAAATATTGTGCTGAATGTGGGACAGAGCTACTATGTATAAACCAGGATGAAAATATATTTAAATGTATCATGGTATAGAATGAGAATGGTCAGTAGCTGACATTGTTTAATATTAACCATGTTATCATAAAAATTGAACTTGGCCTATTTTTTTTGTTGGTCCTGGCTAGGATTTATCTATAGGTTGACTCCCCTTTCAACAATTGGTTTACTAGACCTATTCTAGTGGGACTAACCAAGAGGACGCCAGCTATAGTATGCCATGTGACTAAATATGAAAGGTAGCAGTGGCCCACCAATTTGAAAAGCATTGTCTTCTATTACTTTGGACTTTATTACATGAGGCAGGCAAATCGGCATTACAGATGAACTTTCACCTTTGGTGACGGTTCCTATTATATGACGCTATGTGCATCCCACTACCATTTTGCCTCCCACCCCCTTCATGATTCTCCCATCCCCAAGTATTGATGGGTAAAATCCCATCCTGCTACATTCCTACTGTCTACTGTAATGTGATGGGTCTCTTCTGCTTCTGTGTATACCAGCAGTAATATGATGGCAGTGGGTAATATTCTCTTCCTCTCCTTCTCTCCCATATTACTATTCCCAATATGATGCTTTGTATTTCATATGTGTGAGTGTATAGTTAGCTTTTAATGCTAAAATTTAGCAATTGTGCATTTTTTTAAAAAAAATTAATGAACTGCCAGCTATGGGAGTAGGAGTAGTGAGAAAGGCAGGGCTATGAGGGTCTGCAAATGTCTGATCATGAGACAAGGCACTGGTAAACAGATGCTACTGAAGAAAAGTGCAATAACAAAGGTGCTCAACTTGGTATGTATCCATTATACCGGAATACTGGGTTGGAATGATAAAGTCTCTCTCTCTCTCTCTCTCTCTCTCTCTCTCTCTTTTACTAATTATTGCTACTAATAGTAACACTACATGCTTATTAAGTAAGACCTTAATACATTTAAAACATTGGCTTTCTCAGAGATTTAACAATGTATGCAAGAGAGCGGAACAAAAATGAAAGAACTGTAACTAATTTGATTTTAAAGTAGCACATGTGCAATGGGGCAGATTAATTGGCATGAAAGTGGAGTTTGTGGCAAAATTGCTCGTGTTTCAATATGGCTCACTTAGAAAGGATGGATTTTTAATAAGCCAAAGTAACTGGCACTCCATTAAATACAGTATCACATACAAAATCTGTCTTTGCTCCGAGCCTCTTCTTCTGATCTTTATGAAGTAGTCCTTGCAGGATGTCACAGGCTGCAATGGTCTTTGTTCCTTGAATCTGGAGTGGCTTGTGCAGAATGTTATCATACATCTGAGACACATCACGACTGTAAAATGGAGGCTGGTCACAGGGAAACAGGAGGGAGAAGAAGGTAAGTGGGATAAAAGGTCAGTTATTGTCATTTGTATGTCATTCTCAAAAGGACTGCTATTCATGCTGGTTGCATGTTTCTACAATTTGACAGCAAAGCCAGAAGGGAGAGAAAGCAATACAAGTTAAATTTGTTCCATATGTTACCATGAGTTCTTTTATATGAATTATAATACAAACCACTCTATCAACTACTTAGCTATAAGTAAAGATAAAGTATTCAACCTGCTCTACTACAGTCATAAGATCATAGAATCATAGATTTGAAAGGGGCCACAAGGGCCATTCAGTCCAACTCCCTGCAGCCTCATTCTGCACACAAGAATAGATTAGGAAGCTGTAGCAGAATTGAGTTTGTTGGGTGCTAACACTGTTTGATCACCAGGAATGATGTTTTTATATGAGCTTTGAAGTCCCTTCTTCCCTTTTAGTTTCTGGACAATGCTTAGATCAGCAAAATTAATACTTGCATCAATACTGTATTCTTGTGAGCTATCCTGCGGCCCATTAACACCACAAAATTATAGTGTATTGTGACAAGGGTTCCAGCTCTTGGAATCCTGCCACTCATGCTGCCCTTGTTCCCCACTTCATTCCTTCCTGGATTGGGTTTTGGGGCCTCAGGATTTTACAAAGCTAAAAGAATGTATTTTAATTAGTTCTTTTTAAAAGGATTCAGAAATTATAATTGGCCCATTAGCTTTACAAACAACTTGCTCTTGATAGAGGATGAAAAGTGCCAATGGGAATTTATCATTGTAGGTCAACACAGCTGCCTGAATTTTTAAATTCTCTTTGGTTTGTGCCAAATATCTCACTTCATCACTGTTGTCAACATACGAAATTGTAGGATTTGCAGTTTATGGAAGGGCATTTAGAATTTGTGGCTAGAAATCTCTAGTGCCTCACCAAACTTCAACTGCAGCTGTGACAGCTAACGTGGTCTCATAAAGTGTAAAAGGACCCACACATTCTCTTTCACACTACACTGTTATAGCACCATGTTTCCATTGTAGCTGCCTAGGCTCTATTCTACAGAAATTTATACCTTACAGCTTCTTCAAAATTCTCTGGAAGAGATCTGTAATGTCTGATCAAACTACAAATTCTAGGATGCCAAAGGATAGAGCTATGACAGTTAAAGTGGTAGCAAAGTGTTACAATTGAGTTGTATGATAGAGACCACAGGGCTTGTTATAATTATTCAAACATGAGGGAGGAAGGTCACACATTTTTCAGTAAACAGATTTCTTTAGATCAATTACAAACTTGCCAATCTGTTTGTTTTTTAAAGGGGAAAAGCTGCATGGAAAAGCTTTGAAAACAAGATTAACATTCTTACTTTTATCATTTAATGATAATTATGTCAATTTTATACTTGTTATTTATTTATTGAAAAACATTACTTGGAAGGAATTTGCAGGATTTGGCCATTTTTGGTGATTGCTTCTGTTACAAAATCTTAAAAACCTGTTTTTACTATTTGACATTTTGAAAGAAAATATTGACATTAACACATTAATAATGTGTTACTTTACTTGCTACTTGCTAATAACAAGTAATGTTCACAAACAACATATGGCTTGCAAAAATTAATAGTTATATATACACTTTAGCAGGTCAGACCTCTATCATAGAATTATTGCCTGCTTCATCTTCAATTTCCAATCCTGAAGCAGTCTAAATTTACAAAAGCTTACCAGGCCAAACAGCATTTCATACAGGACGGCTCCAAGACACCACCAGTCTACAGTTCTGTCATAGGGCTGTTTTTTCAGCACTTCTGGAGCGAGGTACTGTGAAAGCACACAATCATACAATCATTTACACACACACACACACACACACACACATCACAATTTACATACAAATGCCAACTGCAAAGTAGTCCAGTAACTTTCCAGGGGCTAAATGTGTTATTTAGTTAGATGCAGCATGATAATGTACAGGAAACTTGTCATACGAAGTAGTGTGATTCTAAGATGTGGTCCATGGGCCAATGACAGTGTGCAAACTACTGGTTCTCATTCTCAGTCAATGGCAAATATTCAAGAAAGAAAATCACATTTGCAGTTAATGGCTGCAAAGACACTCATGGATGGGAATAAAATTTTAACAGTCCACCACATCAAGTTTTCATTGTAGAATCATTAAGTTGGAAGAGACCTTGTGGGCCATTCAGTCCAACCCCCTGCCAATAATCAGGAAATTTGCATCCGAGAAACTCCTGACAGATGACCATCCAGTCTCTGTTTAAAAGCCTCCAAAGAAGGAGGCTTCACCACACTCGGGGGCAGAGAGTTCCACTATTGAACAGCTCTCATGGTTAAGAAGTTCTTCACCCATGGATTCAAGCAATCATAGTTTGAAAATATTTGGGATGTGTATGGAATTCCCAAAAACAAACCTTGGTCTTGCCATTTTATATAAGGGATGCCGTTTTTTATGCCAATGTACATAATGGGACTTGAGCACCTATGGATGCTAGTATCCATGTAAGGTCCTGGAGCAAAAGCCAATGAATACTAATCCAGCAGTGTCTGTCCCTTGGCTGCTCTCATCTTGCAAACTATATGGCATTAAAAAAAACGGGGGGGGGGGGGGGAAGAAAAAGAAATGTGGTAGAATTAAGGCTAACTGATGTTTATTTTTACATGTGTTGTCATGGATCTAAACCCACTTTTCTAGATGCAGTACTGTGTGATATTATGGCCTCAGGTTTAAAGCATATTTATACAGTTGTAGGTGTAGGATAGTTATCCACTTCAGTTCCTCTGATCTTTCAATTTGCTATCCCATCTTAGGAGAAGGGCAGAATATTACATTGATTAATGAAGTCACTTTGTGGGGAAAAAAAAAACAGGTTGCTAAGATGATTAGTTTATTAGCATCCCACAAAACTATGCCCACTTGAAGTATATTAAATGAGTACTTTAAAATTGAGTTTTATTGCCTAGATGGTAAGAGTTCCAATGGTTTTCTTGTCGTTCCCAGATTGAGAGTCAACATGATGTAGTGGTTTGAGCATGGGACTATGACTTTGGGTTCGATTCTCTGCATGGCCATAGGAACCAACTGGGTGATCTTGGATGAGTCACACACTCTCACTCCAGAAAAAATCTACTTAAAACATGGGTTTTCAAGCAAACATTCAGAGTGTGAGATGAAGTGGTCAACTTCGGGACTGATACAATGTCAAATGTTCAATGTTTTATTTTTGTCTATGTCCAAAGTTTTTAGTTTACTGGTTTTTAATCTATTGTTATATGCTATTTTAGTTATGTGATATATTTTATATTTTGTGAGGCATTGAATTTTGCCATTTACTTTGCCATTCACTTTGAGTCTCCCCAGGAGTTGAGAAAAGCAGCATATAAATGAAATAATAAATAAATAAATAAAATCCCATGCTAGGGTTGCCTTAGGATCACTACAAGTTGGAAATGACTTGAAGGTATACAGAAAGAACAATAACATCCTTTCACATAACTACAAGTCTTTTAAGGAAAAAATAGCTAGAAATGTATTTCTTGCTATTTCTTTTATCAGTCATAACTACTATCAGTAGTCCAACTTTCATGTCCAAATTTATTGCAAAATTCCAAGAAAACACTATCTAAATCATGTTAAACATGAAGCAGTTTAGTCCAACTTGTGATGTCCTGATTCAATCATTCGAAGAAAAAGAAAGATTTGCTACATTTAAGTTCATTGGCTAGACTGTGTCATGCCACTTTAGCTCCCATGCTGGATGAGGATTATGGACGTTATCCAACAAATTACCTTTTCCAGATTTTAGAATTACCCATTAAAATGGATTCAAATTGTAATGAAGTTTTGATACCATACCTCTGGGGTGCCACAAAATGTAGATGTTGTTTCTTCCGGCTCCATTCCTTCTTTGCATAGTCCAAAATCTGTCAGTACAATGTGTCCCTGAAAGAAAAAGAAGAATGTTGCATTTCAAAGTTTGCTACTGTTGTGTCCATATGAGATCCGGTTGTCCTAGTCTAATTATAGTACCTTTCCTGCTAAAAATTGGTATTTAAAAAAATAACTAAATCTTGCAGTTATTAGTATTTTGGAAATATAATAAAATATATCAAGGTTAACAACAAAATGCATAAATTGTAGACTAATGGCATTACTTAGCAGTGCACCCTTACGATTCCTATAATTTCATTTAGTAATGTTTAACACCACCACCCACACACACACAGCTTTTATTGGCATACAACAGCAAAATTGGCATACAACACAGGTATATACAACAAGAGGAAGTCACATCTACTCCAGAGGTCCTTAAACTTTTAAAATAGAGGGCCAGTTCATGGTCCTTCAGACCTTTAGGGGGCTGGACTATAGTTTGTTGTGTGCCTTCAAGTAATTTCAGACTTAGGGTGACCCTGAGGCAACAGTATCACAAAGTTTTCTTATCAAGATGCATTCAAAGGGGATTTGTTTTTGGCTTCATCTGAGGGTGAGAGAGTGATCCTAAACTATATAATATGTAGTCTTTTTATAATAGCAGTTGTAATTTTACACACATGATACGTAGTTCAGTAACATACCTGACAATCCAGTAAGATATTTTCAGGCTTTAAGTCCCTAAATATGGAGGGAGGAGGAGGGGGGGGGGGAAAAAGAGGTTTAAGTTCTGTTGAAATCTTAAGGCAAACCTTCCATCCATTCTCTTGATAAACCTTTGAAAACATCAATTAAAATTACTTATTTTATTTATTTAGGGTATTTCTACCCTGCCTTTCTCTGTAACGCATTGTAAAGATTACACTGTAAAGATCTCATAAAAGGGATAAATCCAAAAGTGTGTCTCCCAAATTGATTAATTCAGTTCATTTGAATGTTCTCCCCCCCCCTCCTAAATTAAAATATTAAGGAGTAAAACAGTTTATAAACAGATGATAAAATTATAATTCCCATGAAAGCTATCACTTCTGCATTTGCTCTCTCACTTTTACTATGGGGATGGTAAAAATGTGGTAAAATTGCTTTACCACTCTTTGAGCATGTAGAGGCCTGTCTGTGTGTATGTCTATTCATTCATCTACCAGCCCATCTATCTGTTATAGCAAAAGATCTCATACCAGAGCTATCCAATCTTTATCTAAATGTGTTTTACCTGTAGATGATATTCAGTGAATGGAGGTACCCCACTGCACTGGCCATTTCAGCTGCATAGAAGCGAGCTCGGGGTTCCCGGAAGCAACGCTCTCTTTGCAAGTGGAAGAAGAGCTATAAATAGAGATGAACAAATTTAACGCTGGATCATAGGGCTTTGTAAGTACATTTCCCCTTGTTGCAGCACCTCTTAACTATCTGAATGAAGAGATTTGATAAGTACAGCAGCACCTGAAATCAACACATTTTCATAGGAAACAGCTTTTGTCTTTTGAAGCTTCAACATCATACTCAGTTCCAAGAAGTAGTTATCTAGTGGCTTCCATATAAGTGAACTTTAAAGTCTGGAGTTTAAAGGTGTTATTCAAGATCCTGAATCTTTCTGAGGATGGTGCTCAGCACCTGGATAGCACTTTCAAAATCTGGAAGAGTTTCATCACTCCATTTCCACTAACATGCCAACACCAATCACTTTCCATTTTAGGTGGAGAACACAACTTTAGAAAACTTTGCTTGAGAGCCCCTTTGGTGTCAATAGCTATGATTCTGTAAATTGCTGCTATTCATTGTGAAGGGATGTGAATACAGACATAATAACTAGATCTAGACATGCAGACTTATTATTGAAGTCTGCAAAAAAAAAAAATCCAACCACAATGTAAATTGAACATTTCCCAAATTTTGCCACTGGTGCTATGCTCCAAACATGTACAAGTCTGGCATACATTTACCTCTCCTCCATTTACATAATCCAGGACAAAGTAGAGTTTCTCTTTGGTCTGGAAAGAGTAGTGGAGTCCCACAAGGAAAGGATGTTTCACATTCTTGAGCAGCACATTGCGTTCTGCCATTATATGATTTTGCTATAAAGAGTTGAGAAGAAAAAAGAGAGAGGAGTAAACAAAAATATAGATTTCAAATGCTAACAGCAGCAAAGCCATACCCATGCTCATACAGACAAATGTCTCTGCCAAAGGTTATCTTCTTTCCTCTCATGCCAAATAGTTTTAACAAAGGTCGTAGTATTATTGGGATCATAGAATGATTTTTCTTTTCTGATTTCTTTTCCTGCATACCATGGATATAGTCCATATGAAGGTCTCCAAAACAGTAGTTTGCAACTGATAAAAATTTCACATAACTTCACTGATGGCAAAACAAGATCTTGGTTGGAAGAGGTACAAAGTATGTATATACAAATATATACACTTTATAACTATTTATATGCTACTTATAGCAGTTTCTACATATTTGCTGAGGATTGTGGAGGAGGATCTCCACAAAAATGGAAAAAACAAATAGAAAAACTATGGATTTACAGATTTCGAAGCATTATTGAGGCATTTAAAAGGAACGTAACTTTAAGATAGTAATAGCTTTTGAAACTAAGGATTAATTCTCATGAAGTAGTTTGTATTTTAATCTTAATGTGGTTTGTGTTTATGTTTATGTGTTTTAATTTCTATGGTTCAAATAATTTTATGTGGCTTTAATCTATGGTGGATGCACAGAAACAAATGCACATTATATTTCATCTGACATATGTTACAATTTAATAAATCTCTTTCTCTGCCCCTGCCCCGCTCTTTCTACCAGGGCGATGTCCAGCAGATAAAATTTTTTAAAACATTCAATACACAAATAAAGACATTTTAAACAGGTTAAAATACTTATTTAAATATAATTAAAACAGGGATCATTAAAAGAGTCACAACACCCTTCCCAGTTATGCCACAGATGAGGGTGAAAGATTAGCAAAACCTCATTCTGTTGAACAAAATTGTCTTTTTATGATGCAACAGAGTTTCTGTTTTTTAAAAAAATACCTCCTTTTTCTTGAGAATAGATTTTTTCTGCAAAACTTTCACCGCATAGAACCTCCCATCAGACTTGCGTTTCGCAAGAAGGACCTGTAGCAGGAATAAGCGGACAAGGGTATGTATGGGGTGGTTGAAGAAAGTTTTGTCAATTGTTCCACTTGATCCACATTGTATTCATGCCACCTTGCATGTACAGTGTACCACTGTATGAGGGATTTTCTTTCATTTGATCTCAGCATACCAAGCTGTAGTTCTTATTTCTACAGTAAATTTCAGCAAAAATGAATGCATAATAAAAAATATTTCATATTGCCACCATCTAAAGAAGCAGCAGTGGTTAATATATTGTACCTTATATATTCGTATTACTGCCAAGCTCAGACAGATAAATAAATTAGTATTTTAAAACTTAGTAAAGGGCTCTTTAAAACTGAATTCTTGACTATTGAAACATGGTGAATCAATATATCATGCTTAGAATAAAGAGAGCGTATTTAAAGTTTCTCTGAGCTACAAAGCTCCCTTGGTGGACTCAAGCCCAGCCTACTTAACAGGGTTGTTGAGAGGAAAACAATCTAGCAGTAGGAAATAAACCATGTATACAATCCTGAGCAATTGGAAGGAGGACAGGATTGAAAAAAATATTGATTTAAAATGATGTTACAGATGTGCATTTTAAAAAGGGCTCCAATAGTGCACAGGTATGTCACTGGTACTATAAAGGAAATTTCTCTTGAATTTGCCAGAAGTTAAGCATGGGGAAATGTTAGAGTCAGAGCCCACAAAATGCTGGGGGAATGCTAGATTAATAGCCCATAAAATGCTGGTTTGTGGATGGTTATATGGGCATAGATATTAGATATTCCCAAATGAGAAAAACTTCACATGTGCGAAAACACTTTCTGTGGCTGAATATTACATTCAGTGGCAACTATCCCTCTAAACCGCAAGGAGAGGCTACTTGCCTGAGAAGTAGAAACATATCCATCTCATGAGATGTGTGAGTGTTCTGCTGTCTTCTTGCCTCACATTACTTTCCCAGAAACATTGCTTGAGAGTAAAGATAAGATTTGCCAGGTGCTAAATGCTTGGTGCTAAATAGAAATTGAGACTTTCCAGTAACAATCTAGTGTGACTCTTTTTAAACAAACAATCACCAAAGGCAAGAAGGATAATCATACTGTGGGTGAAAATGAGAATGATTCAAGAAGATCAGACCTCAATGTCTAAGAGACCAAAACAGAGCTGGACAGTGTTTGCCAAGGACAATATGTACTAGTTTACTTACTTTTCCAAAGCTACCCTTGCCAATGATCTTTAGGAAATCAAAATCTGTTGGTTTGGCACTGTCGGGGAAAAAAGATGAAACAGAATGTTTTTTTGAAAGCAATAAAAACTTTGCTACTATTACTGTTCCTGTCCAGGCTAAGATAGCCCTTCCTCCTTCCCTCCCTTTATTTATATTGTTCCTTTCTCTCAGACTGGGACACAAAGCATCTTATAAAAAGCAGAAAACTGCAATAAAAACGAAAATAAAAACAAGATTGTTCTTCAATTTTTTTGCAGGAACTCCACTTTGAAAGTGGAAAAATTACCAATTTAAAAATTATCTCTTTTTTTGTTGTTGTGGGTTTTTTCAGGCTTTTTTTTAACCTGTGAGAACACTTCTCTGGAAATCTTTATGATCAACTTCCATGAGACATTGACCGTAGAGACACCCGAGAGATTCTTAGAAAGACCATGTTAATAAAATCTGCAATGGTTAAACCTCAAAATTTGGAGAGCCAATTCTAAAGTTAAGGAGATATACAAAAGTTGAGATTAAAACAGTAAAATCATTTAAAATATTATCTTAAAACAAAATTTAAAAATTGCCCTAGACTTGGGAATACTGTCAGAAAAAGTTGTGACAAACCTAATTCAACATAATAGACATAGAGTCCTTCCAGACAGGCCCTGTATCCCAGGATCTGATCCCAGGTTTTCTGCTTTAAACTGGATTATGTAAGTCCACTGTGCCAGTTAATCAGGGATAAACAGAAAACCTGGGATCAGCTCCTGGGATATAGGGCCTGTCTGGAAGGGCCCTTAAGGTGAATACATAGGCTTCCTTAAGTTAATTGTTGTTGTTCATTTGTTCAGTCGTTTCCGACTCTTTGTGACCTCATGGACCAGCCCATGCCAGAGCTCCCTGTCGGCTGTCACCCCCCACCCCTTAAGTTAATATGCATCCCTATTCTATGCTTGTCTCCTTTTCTAAGTTCTATTCTGTCTAAAAAATTATTTAACCTGATTCTAAAGTTTAGAATTAGCTGTAAGTGCTAATTCTGCACAACTCATAGGTAAGATAAAACTAAAACTAAATACAAACCATACTTTTCTGATATGTTGTATGCTTTCTGATAGGCTAACATACAATGCAGTATTATCCCATTGCTGGAATAAAATCAGGAACTCTTCCCCTGAGGCTCTGCTTTTATGCTGCAATATATTTTCCCACCACTGGACATATTGCTTGAGTCTCCCTTATTTGAAATGTTTTTTTGAAATCGATTTTTTAAAAATGTTGCATATATTTATCTTACTAAAAGTTCAGCAGTTTCAAAAAACTACATTTTTCTCTACAACAAGGTGTGAAAGAGTTTTGTTTTAAAGGAGAATCACACTCTTAGAACCACAATTATCTTGTTAAAATAAGCCATGCATAGTTAGTCTACTTTGTATAAAGCAAACGTGTTCTGGTTGTGGATCGTTGACATTTTTTGATTTAAAAATCCTCTGCCACTGCATTGTTGTAGTTTAATAGCTCATTTCAGGATTGTACAGACTACACTGTATCCTGGTGTATGTGAAATTGTCTCTCAGATGTGCCATACTTGTATGCATGTGCTGTACAGAAAAAAAAACTGTAGTCAGAATGACTAGCCACAGCAAGGGCAACTGAAAAAATGGAGCTTCATTTTGTTCTTCAGAATTATCATAAACTGTAGACTTACTTAGGATTAGCAGAAGGTCCAAGATTGATGTTGTCTGTTGGTGACGAAGGCTGAACACGACAAAAAGGAGATGACCCAGGTTAGCCAAGAATTTGCTGTTTCACCATGGAAGAGCGACAGATAAACATACATATATGGGATAACTGACCATATTAGCTACGCGAATCTGAGAGCTATAATCCAAAATGTTATTTTCCTCATGCTTTGTGGAGATCACACCATTGCAACGGAATGTGAAGTGTGTTAGTACATATATCAACAGAAACACTACTGAAATGGATGAGACCTCCCAGGCTACAGAACTATCTGCTTTACTGGCACCCTCTAAAAAAGCTACGTAATTAATCTCACATTTTTGAGCTTCCGGTTTAATGCAAATGAAGTTTAAATGACACCCCATTGGGCCTTACCAGGCTGTTGCTATCTGGGCTTTTGGAACGTTCCATTAAGGCGACAACTCTTTCAGCACTGCAAAATAAAAAATAAAAACAAGCACAAATTTAGAGCAGTGGAAAGATGGAATAATCTTGATTTTCAGCTCCATAGGAAGAAATGTCAAGTCACAGATAGTATGTGATTTTAAGGGATTGAACCAATAAAGTGACAGACATATGTTCTATCAAAACAAGAACCAAATCTGTATTAGTGGGCCCAAAGATTGGGCTTGTGGGATCTTGGGATGTGGGATTTTGCTTTTATTTTACTAAAACTCAAAGGTCCACCAACTACATCCTAGTACAAAAGAATTAGAATTAATCTTTCAGCTTTAAGAAGTTTATTTTCAGTACCAGAAGTGAACAGAGCTCAGAGTCTCTCCTTACAAAATTCTATTCCTGATTATCCAAAGCTTTCTTCATTTGTGCAATACAATTGCAAGTGTGTGGGAAGGGGTGTGTGTCATTTTTTGCTGCTATTACAAGTTGTTTATTGCTTGAACGAAAGGCTATATAGGCATATACAGCAGAGTCTTGCTTATCCAACCTTCGCTCATCCAATGTTCTGTAATATCCAACACAGTCTGCCTCCCGCCTGGATTTACAACTGTTTCAATACATTGCGATGTTTTGGTGCAGTAATTACTACATAACGTTACCATGTATTGAACTGCTTTTTCTGTCAATTTGTTGTAAAAAATGATGTTTTAGTGCTTAATTTGTAAAGTCATAATGTAATTTGATGTTTAATAGGCTTTTACCTTAATCCCTCCTTATTATCCACCATTTTCGCTTATCCAACGTTCAGCTGGCCAGTTTATGTTGGATAAGTGAGACTCTAGTGTATGTAAATAATGAGATATCTTTCAGATGGGAATGTATTCCTTTTTCATATATAATTTATACACATAGCTTGAATTTTACACACAGTATTTTTAATAACTTTGTGCATGAGACAAAGTTTATGTACTCTGAAGCACCAAAAAGCAAAGGTGTCCATATCTCAGCCGCCTATGTGAACAAATTCGAATTTTGGAATACTTCTGATTTCTGGATAATGGAGGCTCAACTATATTAAAGAATGAAGAGTCAGAAATATGAGTTAATCAACTTCTTAATCATCAAGAGATCTCACAAGACATCCACATTTACCTTCTGCCCATTCCTGTATTTGGGAATATAGTTGGAATAGTATACATCTATCTTTGTAAACGTCTGTGAGAACTGAAATTGTAATTACTAAAATGATCTATTATCTTTTGTGCTGTTAGAACACAGTCTGCAAAACAGTAGATTTTGTGCAATGCAGATTTTGATCCCATTCTAGATCACCTGACCAGACATTAATGGTGTAAAAGATCTGCAGTTAGATCTCCTGATTGGCTTTTCAGAGTTTAAAAACAGCTTTTGGATTAGAAGAAATTAGATCAAGAAAGAAGAAATTAGATCAAGAGAGAGGAAATTGGAGCATTCCTGGAACTTGGAAAATTTTCTTTTTTTGACTATAGAGTTCTCCAGCATGGCTGGCCATGCTGGCTGAACAATTCTGAGATTCTTCCAAACTCTGAGCATTTCCTCAATCAAAACATCATGCTGCAAAATCAGCCACCTTAGACAAGATGACAGATACATGTACTGGGCTTTCCTTCCTTCTCTGAAATGAGGCTGCTAGAAAGGTACGTAAAACAAACGACATCACTTTCATCACAAGCAAAAGGAACTACATGATTGTCACTTTCCCAGCTCTTTTTCCTTGACAGGAGAAATGTGGGGTATAAATTGAATAAATAAATCATAAATAAATACCAAGCAGGTGAGTCATAAGTAAAATATAAAAGGATTCAGATTGTCATACTCTCCACCCTTCTCGGCAAGAAGCTAAGGGGACTGTGTAGCAACGGAAGCTAGCTCTTTGCTTCCTACATAGAAGCCCCTTGTTTCAAATCATACCACAGAAGAAATGCCAGAGCGCCAATGGATTTCACTTTCAGTAATCCCATTTCATAACTTTACTTACATTTCCACAAAAGCGCTTGTTAGAAGTAAGCTTGTGCATCAAAATCATATTGAGCCACATAACCCCCCTTTGTACAAGAGATGTTTCCTAATGCATCATCACCATGCTCTGTGCCAGCCAGCTCAACCCACGGCTTGTCCCTTGTAGCAGGTCATCACCCGGCCGAGCTTTAAAGGGACAGCACCAACCCACTAACAGAAAGAGACAGATACTCACTAGGAGGAAAGTTTGGAACTGGAGGCCTTGATAGTCTGCTCTAACCTCTCTCGCCCTTGTTTTATGAGACCTACAGGAAGAAGAGGGAGGGGAAAAATTAGCAAACTAAATAAGCTGTTCAGTTGGCAGAGTGATCACAAGAAGCAGCATGCACACAGAGACACATTTGTTCTGAAGTGACCTTGTCCTTCTCGTCCATCCACCCACCCGCACGTCAAAGTAACCAAACTTTTATAAGAGCCAGCGATAGAGTCTTGTTGCTCCAGGAAGGAGTTTCTAACCTTATTTGAATCTCAACAGAAAAAGCAGAATCTTGGACCCTGCAAGAATGAAGCTCTCTAAACAACAGCCTTCAGTCTTCCTACTTCTGAGGCTATTCCCCTGCTTTATCCAACTTTGTGTCACAAGGCAGAAGAGCCACCCTTTGATACATCATACTTGGCACACGTTCCTCTCATTCAGAGCTTTCCAAGTATTTTATGAAGATGGATTGTACATAGCAGGACACACACCATCTTTCTTTCTCAAAGAGCCAACCACTTCATTCAAGTGCCAGTTCAGGCCATTAGGCCAACAGGAGACATCACAGCATTTTATTCATTTTTTTCTAGATGTTGGTTTTGTTTTGTGTTTTTCTAATCCCTACAAGGTAGCATGGTAAACAAACCAGAAAGTGTTTAAATTAAAATGGATTTTAATGGAAAATATTATATTTCAAAGCTTTTAGCATTGGACTAGGAATTTGAGAGAGCAGGATTTGAATTCCCTGGAAAATTACTCTAACTAATGTTGAGAAACAAATTTAAGTTTTACAAATTCCTTGCCATCTACAATTAAATAGGCAGTGAATCATGAAGAAAAACCTGAAAAACAACTCTTGTGATTTCTTTTCAGATTTTCCTATTGCATGGATTAGGGTGGCTTATAGTTAAAACCAGTACATAAAAGTTCACAACCATATAACAGTTAAAATAGAGTTAAAACATATGTATTGTACTATATTTTTTTTTTTTTAAAAAAAGAGGTACATCTATGTGAAAAAAGAAAAGAAAAGAAATAAGTGGATTGAAAGGCTTCTCAAAGCAAAGGGCTAGTAGGGCTGTGCACCATTTTTTAAAAGGGGCTCCGGTTGATTTGGCATTTTAAGGTGCCTGATCACCTGTAACATCATAGGTGGCGACACCATGTTTTTTTCAGCCACAACAACACATGCGGAAGCTGAAAACAGCTGCTTTTGGTTTCTTTTGGCTACACGTGGAATGGCAGCCACCCATGCACTGGTTTCCAAAAGCCCTGCTGCCTGAGCCAATAAGAAGAAAAAGGTCACTCACGTATGTATTTTAGCCTAGCTCTGTTCGTTGTGTATCTTGATGCTGTGACTGCTTTGGATCGCTTTTTGCCTCAATTCTTTTCCTTTGGCAATTTTATTATATATTCTTAGTTGAATACATTTCAGTCCTTTATAAAAGTATTTTTCTAGGGAAGTGTTTGGGAAGGGCTGTGAAAGGGCATTGGGGGGGGGTGTATGTTAAATTTTGGGGTGATTTAATAAAGGGATGGGGTAGCCTGATTCCCTTGAGTCCTTATAAGCTGTTTGTTGTTCACCTCTTTGACTTGTGTATTTTTCTTGTGACTTCTCTGTATGTGCACTCCTTCTCTCATATAAGAAGATATATATATATATATGGAGCCCCCGGTGGCACAGTGGGTTAAACCACTGAGCTGGTTTAACCCACTGTAACCGAAAGGGGGTGAAAGATCAGAAAAACAGCTAGGCCACACTTTGCCCACCCCTGTACTAGATGATCTTGAGTGAGTTATTTTCTCAGTCTGACATACCTCATGGAGTTATTGTGTCAATAAAAGGAGTTGTTGTTGTTGTTGTTGTTTCTGGCCAAAGCATAAGGTGTTGGTATTGACCTTTAAAGCCCTACATGGTTTGGGTCCAGGTTACCTACCGGGTTGCCTTCTCCCATATAATCAGTCCTGAATATGTTGGTCCTTTGGGAGGCATCTGCTCCAGCCTGGCAGTTACCCAAAGGACCTTTTCATCACCTGCCCCACGACTGTGGAACGACCTGCCAAAAGAGCTCCAACAGCTAGATCAGTTGTCAGATTTCTGACACAAGTAAAGACCTATCTCTTCTGGAAGGCCTACCCAGACAGTTTTAATGATAACTTTTAAACTTCCACTCTATATCTAATTTTTGTTTTGTGTATTTTAATAGGTATTTTATGGAAAAACGTTTTAATATGTGTATTCTGCATAGTATTTTTAAATGATTATGTGTTTTAGCAATGTTGTAACCCGCCTTGAGCCATGAGGACAGGCAGATAAGAAATAAAAGTATTATTATTATTATTATTATTATTATTATTATTAAAACTACCTAGGCAGCCTTCCACTCACTGAAGGGAAGATGATATTTTAATATAATAAATAAAGTTAGTGGAATGTGTTTTGCCCAGATTTTGAGGACAGCACAGTAACAGACATCTGCAGGCTAAGTGCCATAGGCAATGTTTTAGCAGCAGAAAGTGCATAAACAAACTTGCACAGGATGGTGGCCTTGCTATGACAAAAACACAGAAGAAACCTCCTGTACTCTGACTCAAGAACAGAAAATGACCTTGCTGCTTTCAACCAAGGTTCTTCTAGTTTATACTGTGTTTCATTTCCAACAATTAGCTAACACCAAAGACAGATTTTGCTTGGGTAAGTCGGGTCCCCACTCTTAAGGACACTTAAGAGTGCCCCCCCCCCCCCGACTCTGGAACGCCCTCCCAAAAGATCTTAGACAGGCCCCTACACTGGCAGCCTTCAGAAAGAACTTGAAGACTTGGCTGTTCCGATGTGCCTTCTCAGATTAGGAATCTCCAATACCAAGTCCTAGAAGCACTTTAGTAGAACTAAGATTGCTGCACACTGCACGCTACACTTACTTTATAATCCTACATACCTCCTGCCACATCAGCACTTTTAATCTTGTACCCATTACTCTGACCCGGCCCAGTTTTATAGTGTCTTGATGTATTGTTTATGTTTGTTGTTATACTGTTTAACTGTTTTTAATTTGCTTTAGGTATTGTATTGTTGTATGGTGTTTTGAGGCCTTGGCCTATGTAAGCCGCATTGAGTCCTTCGGGAGATGCTAGCGGGGTACAAATAAAGTAGTAGTAATAATAATAATAATAATAATAATAATAATAATAATAATAATAATTTCCCCCACTTTCCTCCTGCCTGTGGGATGGATTCCTTATTCTGGATCCACATAGTCTTTCACATTGGAAACATAGATTTCCAAATGAAAGTGGTCACGACAAATATGTGGCTTCCTCTTGGCCCCTTTTTTCCCTTTCACCCTCTCTTTGTGCCTCTAAAGTCCATAGCTCTGTTACAGCTAACCTCCAGTTGTAGCACTTGAGTGCCCGGGCTTCCCAGTTCTTGGTGTTTATACCATATTTTTAAGGTTTGCTTTAGGTATCTTTAAATATCTTTTACTGTCTAAACTTAAGCTGATTTTCATGCTTAAGTTTAGAGTAAAGTAATTGCTTTGGGAGACGGTGCTTGTACATTTGGGCAATGTGGTCAGTCCAGCGAAGTTGATGGTAGATAATCACTGTTTCAGTGCTGGTGGTCTTTGCTTCTTCCAGAACACTGACTTTGTCCACCTGTCTTCCCAAGAGATTTGTCAGATTTTTCTAAGGAAACACTGATAGAATCTTCCCAGAAATCAAGAGTGACATTTGTAGAAGGTCCATGTTTCGCAAGCTATAACAGTTCCAACTCTTCAAGAACTACTGGCTAAATGAAGCCATGGACAGTGACTTATGGACTATCTTCTTATGAAATATTAATCACAGGAGATGTAGAAATCATTTTGGGAACCTTGTCACCACTGTGGTGCTATTCTGCCCCCCCCCCCCAATAAACTAAAGGCCTTATCGGATGGGCAGAGATAAAGCAAGGACAGCAGAGGAAAGCATGGGGCAGGAGAGAGAACCACCAGACTGTGTTCCCTCCTATCGGGGTCAGTGGTCTTTCTTTCCATGTAGTTTCCTCGTCTGTTCCTACTTCCTCTCTGGCCCCACATCCATTCTTCAATAAGGAGTACAGCCGACTTCTTTGGGCTCTGCTGCCACATCACTGCCAGCACAGAGGCTCACGGAGTCCCACTGGATGTAGCCCTGCATCATGTTATGAGCTCCGTGGGATTCCGTGCAGCAGCGGAAAGAAACGGGGAGAATATGCTTCTTCCCTGAGTCTGATAAGGTAGTTAGTTTTTGTCTACTATCTTGCACATTATTGGTCTACTTTGGATGCAATGTTTCACGATCTATCTCCTGCTCCGTGCTCTCAGTTATAGTCAGTGCAAAATTTTGTAGTAGTTCTTGGTAAGTTTGTTTCTTATTGCATTCTTGATGTTCATTCTTATCCTAAAGAAGTATGTTGTGATTAAGGCATACTACTAGAGTATCCATTCCAACTTTCAAGTGTCTAGATTTCATAGGGCTATAATAATGATAGTCAGACACATGTACAAGACATAGATTATGTGATTATAGATGAGTAAGAAATCTAACCTGCATTGCTGTGGGTAAGAAGAATTATTACACCACGTTCATGCAAAATGGAACAGTAATGTTCTGGGATAGCAGTAGAAGTTACAATGTGCTTATTGAGGTGACAACAAAAATGTAAATGTCAAAGGCTTTCATGGCCGGAATCACTGGGTTGCTGTGAGTTTTTTGGGGCTGTATGTCCATGTTCCAGTAGCATTCTCTCTTGATGTTTTGTTTGCATCTATGACAGACATCCTCAGAGGTTTGTTCAGAGGTCTGTTGGAAATTAGGCAAGTGGGATGTATGTATATCCGTGGAATGTCTAAAGTGGGAGAAAGAACTCTTGTCAGTTTGAAGCAAGTGTGAATGTTGCAATTATCCAGCTTGTTTAGCATTGAGTAGCCTTGCAACTGAAAGGCCTGGCTGTTTCTGTCTCACAAATCCTTTGTTTGGGAGATGTTAACTGGCACTTGATTGTTTGCTGTCTGGAATTCCCCTGTTTCT